ATTGGTGGGGGGGGGGGGGGGGGACCTATGACGTCACTTTGTAGGCCAATCGGCTGTTAGCATCGCACTGGTTCCCTCGACAAAAATAGGCTTTTGGATTATCGTAAAAAAAAAAAAACTGTGTTCAACTATAGTTCACGACACTTACACGTTTTGTCCATCGAGATAATCTTCACAAAATAATACAACTTTTATGAATTTCGAAGCCTAAATACCAGCGCCAGAACTAAAAAGCTAAACTTAGAACTACACCGCAGTCGCTCTCCTACGCTTCCGACAACCTTTTCAAACTTATTTTTAGAAGCATGTTCAGTGAAAAGGATTTACTCTGTGGATGAATTTTAATCCAGGTTACATGAACCCTTTTCATATAAAAACTGGAATACATACAAAACTAGAGCCAAATGAAATTAAACAAATTAATAGTAAGTAGTGAATAAATGAAATAATCATAACCAAAGCACATATGAAAGCATGTATTTATGTACATTTCGAAATAAGGTGCATTAAAAGTCAATAAATCCTTGATTAATATGAATATTTTAATTAAAAACGTGTCTCCACATAGTATTCAATAAAATTCTAGTGCCTTTAATCTATTAAATACCAGCAGAGTGAGCAAGTTTTTGGATATGGTAAGATTACATTTATTTTAGTTAATTAATCTAAAATTAATTAACTAAAGAGGACGCCATTTGTAGGGACGTTCCAAACGAAAGTGAACAACTGAATCCCTTCACGAAGGGCCCTTCCAGAAGTCCATTAGTGAAGGGAACATTCGATGGTCACTTCACAGACGTGATTTCCGTGTGTGATCATGTGATCTTCGGTTAGGTCTTTTTTAGGTCTTTAGGTTGTTAAGGCTGTAAGATCTTGCGATGCTTTTTAAAGCAAAATTTGCCCCATGGAATAATGAGTTTACCTTATGGTAGAAACCCAGTCTCCACATCAGAAACAAGCGATAAAACGAGTATCTTCCATCCGAAGACTTGTGGTTGCATTTTGAGGCAAAGCAAAAACATTGTCGAACAACAATATAAAATGCGGGAAATTATTAATTGGTTATTCTACATTTAATTGCACTAATTATAACTGGAAAATACTATAAATGTATCAACTGTTCGGCGTGATGACGTTTAATGTCTCCTACAACGCATGTAGTCCCATTTAGCAACTTGTGAGCAACCGTCTTTTTCAAGAAACATAAGTTTAAAAAAATCACGAGTGGGGTGCAACTGGTGTGTTTTATGTCGTAGAATAAAACATGAAAATATTTCGAGCTTGTGTTAACCACGGACCTTCATTTTAGGGGATTTAATCAAACTCCCATTTAAAAAAACCTATCGACTCTGGAATGATGGAACCGGAAGTGCTAAAATGCTAACTCGCTTCCGTGTTTTTGCCTACAAAGTGACGTCATAGGTCCCCCTTTCTGCCTTTCTGCGCCCTCTAGTGGTAACTTTCTGATTAAAGCCTTCATGTACATACGCTATATTTTTTGTTGATTTGTTGGTTGTTTATTTATTTTTAAAATAGCTTTTTCAAATACCTTGACTTATTTAGATCAAGAAATTGTATCCTAGCTCTTTCTAATTAATAATCACAGTATAATCTAAATTTAAGGTTTTGTATTATTTGCCGGGGTTAACGTCAGGATAAAATATTGCACATATCCTTATCAGTTCCAGCAATATTGCATGCCCTGCTAAAAAAATAAAAAATAAATAAAATAAAATTGTTCGCATCGTAGGGAGGAAAGAGGAACAGGACGGTCCCATCTTGAGTTCATTGCAGCTGTTTTACACTTAATTTCTCTGACTGGATGGCTTTTTACCGTAAAAGATGTTTTTAAATTTTTTCATATTTTGCTCCACAGTGGTTATCTCAAAAACTATAGACCGCATTTTGGGGATTATTAATGCGTTCCGAGTCAGCTGACGCCGAAAGCGACTCTGACGCCCAAAAATGCGGTCTAGGTAGGCAGCTCACTGGTGTTTGAGACACGGCCAATGTGGCACAGGCATATGAACGCGTAATGCACGCAATGATATTGAGTGAGTGTTTGAGAGACCTTTGAATTTCTGCATCTCCGGACGGAAAGGACAGAATAAACCGCTGTTTTACAGTCTCAGGTACGATTAGGCGACATGTTTATTTCTCAACACATAGCTGGGATGCAGTGGGAAATGTGCAGGATATGTTACATTTATAGATGTGTATGGATTTGCGGTCATCGTTCGCTGTTGTTTGATGTAGGCTACCTTACCTATTGGTGTAGGCTATTGATAGATGTATTTGTTAATATTTTGCCGTAATCGATCATAAGCATCAGTAGAGGTTGTGGTATACAGAGGCATCATCGGACACTTGTCCTTCTACATACACAGAAGAGTCGCGATCTCTAGTCTAGAGGACAATTATAGCTTTATTTGAACATGTAGAATCTGGATTTAAAAGGCCCGAATAGAAAATAAAATGTGTCCTTAGGCCACGTAACCTTCAACAAAATCTTGAGACCTTAAAAAAAGAATGTGTTCTGTATAGGCCTTCCTTTAACTGCCCTTATTATTCATGACTCGAGTCATATAATTAACTATATTTACGCAGTTTGCGTTTAAACAAATTGTATTATGATTCAATGAAATTTCGCACATATTATAAACGTTTTTGTTTGATTTATTAGCGAATTACTTTTTACTTGCGCCCTTCTAGCGGCCCGAAATAACACCGAGTAAAACAGAGAGAAAAAAAAAAAAAAAAAAAAAAAAACTAAAGGAAAACAGCAACAGTCTCATTGGTGGCACTTAAGACTCGTCCCCGCTGCTTAAGTGTTTTCCTGTAAAAAGCAACAGGAAACTACTGCTTCTTTTAGTCCTGCAGTTTTTCCTTTGAGGAACACTTGTTTTTATGATAAGGGCAAATAAGTTAAATATCCCATAATAATAATGATGACAATAAAAGTGATGATGATGATAATAATAATAATTATTATTTTTATAGACTTCTATAGACGTTTAAAAGTACACTTGTTTTTTTACTAGTGGGAAATTACAAGTGTTTGACTAATACCAGAAGCTCTGATTCATATTTGTAGAAATATTTATCAAAGGATTGACTGCAGACGAAAAAAAAAAACATTTCATCATGATCACAGACTCTGAAGTGACAGCATTGATGGTGGCAGTGAAAAGTCTTTCTCATCATCATATAAAAGGCTGTAAGATCATGTAAGGAGCAAAGAGTCACATGGTGATTGTCTTGATCCAGAGATTTTTCAGTCTCTGATGGCATATTCCCTGCTGCTATTTCCACCTGTAGCTAAATATTGCTGTGCGTTTATTTTGTGTTCCTCACAACAGTCGAGAGGCTATGTAGTACTGAAACGTATGAAGATGAGTAGTGACGGTGCATAATGATACCTTGAAGCAGACTGAACATCTATTTCATATTATAAATCCAGTTAGACAGCAGATGACCTCACCCTCCTGCACTGTTTCACTTAGATTGGATTTACATGAAAGATCAATGCTAATGTAAAATTTCTATTCTATTTTACTCTATTCTTTTCTGACTTCTCTATTAATTCCTGCCATATTCTTTTTTTATTCAATTTTGCGTTTTAAGACAGGTCTGTTCTATTCTATTCTATTTTCATGTTCTATTTATTCCTGTCATATTCTATTCTATCTTTCATATTGTAGTCTACTCTATTGTATTCTATTCTATTTTGCAGTCCTTAGGACAGGAAGATTCTACCATATTCTATTAATTACGGTCATTTTGTCCGTTTTCAGGACTATTCTATTCTCTCCTGTCTGGTTCAGATCTATTTCCTTCTCTTCTTTTCTATCCTATTCTGCCATATTCTATTCATTCTTGTCATATTGTCAGTTTTTTCAGGACTATTTTATTCTTTCCAGTCTGGTTTAGATCTGTTCTTCTTTTCTTTTCTATTCTGTCATATTCTTTTCTTTCTTCTCATATTCTGTTCCATTATATTTATCAGTTTTTAGGACAGGACTATTCTTTTCTGTTCTGCCATATTATTTTCATTCCTGTCATATTATATTCTATTCCATTTTGCTTTTTTAGGACAGGACTAGTCTAGTCTATTATTCCTGTCTATTCTAGATCTATTCCCTTCTCTTTCATTCTATTCTGCCATATTCTATTAATTCTTGTCATATTCAATTTTGTTCCATTTCACAGTTTTTAGGATAGGAATATTTTATTCTATTCTGTTCTGCCATATTCTATTTCACAGTTTTTGGATAGGTCTATTCTATTCTATTCCAGTCTGTCTAGATCTGTCCCCTCGTGTTCTATTTTATTCTATTCTGTCATGATTAATTATTTTCAGTCATATTCTATTCTATTCTATGCTATTCTAGAACAGGACTAGAGTTGTAATAAGACACTTTCTGGCCACTGATGGCCTCCTCATGTCATTCGGATTGCTGTTAAGTGATTCACTAAGAGTGAGAACTGAGAAGCATTGCAGGTTTAATCAGTGGAACACTGATCTGATTGAACAAATCCAGCAGTCAGTCTCTGCTGTTCTGATCTTCACAAGCTTGTTGACTGAACTAGACAAGACAATCCAGAGCTCTGCTAAACCCCCAGGTTTATGACCAGGATAGCACTACACACAGAATAAAGCTGAGTCTGGAATAAAGAAACATGGCTGCCCGACCACGAGCAGCACATCAGAAGTGACGGGGAGGAGTTAAGAAGAGCTTGTTTTCTAGGCTGTGATGTGCAGCATGACCATTGTTCTATCATGAAAGATCTTCAAGAGGAGGGCTTCCTCAGGCTGTTTATGCCAAGCCAGAAACGCAAGTTCCTCAACTCGTCACATCACTCTCCCAGTGGAGCAGCAAGGCCTCACAGAGGTAATAGATCCTGTATCCATCAGTGTTGCTTAGAGAATTCTCTTCAGACGGAGCAGAGCGTTGCCCTGGTGACGCAACCGACGGGTCTGATTGGGCGTTGGCTGCTCTTGGTCTGCTGAGATAAGTGCATTTCAGTTTGGGTGGAGAGAGAAGTGGGTGGGGTCTTCAAGGCAACGTGCAGAGAG